TCCACAGTTAGCAAGATTGTTACCATTTGTTGGTGTTTCTTCAGAAATTTATGTTTAGCTTAATTTATTTCCAAGAACTATGGTGTATCTTATTTCACTGACCTGATGACTGACCTCTCATGCTACTGTACGGGACTCAGCAATGAGATGCATCCAACACAATGATTAAGCATGTGCTGAACATTACACTGCCAGTATAATCAACTGCAGGATGGCACAAATGCTTAGGTTGGGAAACAGGCCTGCAACTGTAAATCAGTTTACAGCATGTAGGTTATTCTAGCAGAGGAACTTCAGCAGTAGGTCCCTTCTTGGGCATTAGTTCACTGAAGGCCTGTAGACATTTGTAACTGAAGGGTTTAGACTCATCTGAAGGAAGTATGAATGGAAATGCCTGCATGTGGAAACATCAGAAGACGCACTAGAGCAAGGGTGGAAAGAACGAGCATTAATGGACGTGATGAACATGAAAGACAGCAGTCAAATCAAGGAATGGTGAGGAGTGTGTTGTTTACATTAAGACCACAACACAAGACCAAAAGTTCAGTCCCTTTCCTCTGATAAAACCATAGCATAAACAATTTGTCATGCCCAAGACTGTGCTCTGATAACATGGGCTCAGATAACATCTTCCCTAGAGGAAGACAGGCAATAGCCATAAAGATGGCAAAATGAGGGAATAAAGAAGTGGACAGAAGTTTTTTCCAAAGATTCCTGGAGGATAAGGCTAGCAAGGGTCTGAGGCAATATCATTGCCTAACAATTGCTTGACTCAGGAAGATATGAAAGACCTGTTCAAAAAAATTGTTGCCAGTCAAGACAGACCCAACGTATTTAGTGAGGACTTAACCGTTGGTGCCCCTTGTCCTCCACCCTATGTACAAATGACCATGGTCAGACCACTTGGACACAAAGACCTTGACACCTGGCAGTGTGTGGCAATGAGATCCACCTGCTAGCATCTCTGTATTGCATGGGAGACGCTTTACCTTCACTGCTGACCATAGGGGTCTTGTTGCTGGTAGTGAATCCAGTATTTCCACACCATGTATTTTTCATGCATCTGAAGTAGAATTTTTTCCAGTGAAAGGAATGCAAGTGCCTTAATTTTAATTGTTTTTGGCAAGTAGTGTTTTTCTTTCCATTTCTTCTTAAATTCATGGCACTATCTAAGTTAGCGCAGGTCAGTAGATCAAAGTCCTTCATTGCTTCTCCCTGCAAACACAAAAACCACAATAGACTGTATGGTTTTCGGGCAGACAGGGGAGACCAGGGAATTTTTTTAAGCCCTTTAGCAATATAGTGCCAATAAGTCACTAGGTTTACAGGCACAGGCCCCTAATGAGAAAAAAAAAATATATTTGTATTTGAAAAAAATATTAATTACAAAGAGTTTATTTCTTGAGGGTCTGTGTACTCATTTCCAAGAATAGCTCTGTGCCAGTTTGACAACACAGTGATGCTTCCACTGAGACCTCATAGGAAAGAGACGCTGCTTGGTGAGTGCACCAAAACACATGCATTATCCACAGTTCTCCAGGTTATTCTTGGCATGAACAGAGGCTACTCCTGCTCTTATCACAGCCAATGTGAGTTTTGTTATTGGTTTTCCTGAATACATTCCGTCAGACCCAAATTTGCTTAGCTGGTTCTATTATATAACCATTTTTTTAAGAAAACAGGGATAGTCCATAAGAAGAATCACTGGCAGACCTTTGCTAGCAATATTATATATTTACAATCTCTGGTGTTTGGAAATACTGGTAGAATTACTATCCCTCACACTTCTAGTTAAACTGTATGGTTTGTAAAATGTATGCACAACTTCTCAGCAAAGGAAGTTCTTTAATATTCTTTATTGGCTGAAGGAAAGTGGGTGCCAAATACAACTGTGAAATGGGAAACAATGCACAAAGGAAAAGTTCCAGAACATCAACACATCCGTTCCTTTCCTCTGCCATAAATAACCAACACACCCTTAAATACAAGACTAAATGGCTCCAGGAAACTCTCATTAATGAAAACGTCCTAGCTGGGCTTCTCACTTTCATTTGGAATTTACATCCCCCAAGAAGTTTTTTCTGACCTAGATAGCAGATACTTTGTTCTCTAAGTAATACTAAGCACTGAGATAAACTAAGATAAACCCAAACTAGCCTACTATCTGGAAAGACTTAAACCTTGCTCTCTCACTGTCCAAAATATTAATGTTGAAAGGCACAGCTCTGCTGCTGTTAAAATCAATGAAGATATCCTACACTGGGTATATAAAGACACAGTGTGTGTTCCAGCATCTGTCCTTCAGTTTTCTGGAAACCAGAGATAAAGCAGGAAACAAAAATAAATGGCCTGCATATATGTACTGCATGCAGATAAGCTGCATTATAAAATAGCAGCTATGATATTTTACAGGGAAGGTCTCATGATGAGACAGGATGCATAGATCGCATATTTTCTGCAGATAAGAATTAGTAGGGTAATTACACCACTCATTTGTCTAGGGAATATTGATATCAAAATTAGCATATTTCACTGTATAAAAAAGAGATAATGGATTCCAACCATCTGTAGCTTTATTACCTTGAAACTTATACTACACAGACTTATCTTAAATAGCATCATATCTAGAAAGTTTCCTAACTTCCAAATGAGTCATTAAAAATTGAGCCATTAATACAATATCAAAACCTTAAAATAAATTCAGGAACTACCCCTACCTCTGATTTCTCCTGGCAGCTTCTTCTAATTTCACAACCACATTTTTCCACTTAAAAAAACAAAACAAAACAAAACAAAACAAAAACAAAACCAAACAAAACCCAACCAACAACAACAAAACCCACACATCTTTCCTCAGTTCCTGTATGGAATATTTGTGGATTACAGGGAAGATGCCTTGCTAGTTAAAAATAGTAAAAATTACTACTGATTGACTTAATCCTATAGAAAATGAGCCAGATCTTCTGCAATTACTTGTGGTACACATGGTACTATGTCCGTGGTATAGAGCTTCCTGATAAGTGAGATGTCTGTAAGCCTTTACTCAGGTTGAAATAACATGAGCAACAGAAAAGAAAGGTGGTACAATTTCATTTCACATTTTCCATGCCTTTGAAAGTTCATTCTTGTGCCACTTTTGTGGATGGAAACCTGCATTTGTGGGTCTGTGGGCAAGGTGCATCCTTCTGAGACTTGGATGCAGACCTAGGGTGAGCACCAGCCTCCAGTTAATGAGGACATGAAACAGAGAAAGGGAGAGGCAGTCCTCCCTTGAATGGGTCACACACAGCAAAATGGTCACATTCTCCCCAAGCTTTCTGATGCTATGGATATTCCCAGTTTCATTGTGATTTGGCTGCTGTTGCATGAAAAGAGGGCGTGAGGCCTTCTGGGCTAGAATGGGAACACGGAACTAAGTGCAAAAATGGTCTTAGGCAACTGACATACCAAACCCCTTGTTGCCTGGAGTGAAGTCTAGACCACAAATTTAGCCATCCAGCAGACCTTCTCAGCGGTGAGAGATCCGGGACTGTGAAGAGCTGACTGATGTGCTAGAAAGGTACCTGCTCAAACCTACTAGATACAAGACCCCCAAGAGATCTCTCTTAAAGTCTGTCCGTCCTTGGAGTTACGAATGTTTCAGTATGTATGTATGAGGAGAAGGCATCATCTTCTGCTTGGGATTCACAGCCCAGGGCTTCTCTCCAAATGCTATTTAAAAAACCCTTTCTTTCCTAAGAATGGTATGTGTATAAGGAGACTCAATCCTTCCTCTTGAGAAGGTGACACAGGTCAACAGAGAGACAACTGTCTCAGGATACAAGGCCTGAAGTCAAGCACGCTCTTGAGTCAGAAGAGATCTGAACTCATGTTCAGATGCGTGACCTAACCACAAGGTTCATGCATCTCTTGCTGGACTACTGAAGCTTCAATTCTCTTTGCACAAGCAAAAATACTGGAAAGGGGAGGAAATGGTGGAAATTTCTTCTCTATGATGTTGCCTGTGTTCACTCAGCCTAAGCGAGGAATGTGCAAGATGGCAGGAGACTCCGGCTTTGGGGACCTGGAATCACCTACTTAGCCAAGATGGGACACAAGTCTGGCCCTGGACCTCCACACAAGTATTTGCAGTTCTTTATCATCTAGGTTCTGAGAAAAACAATCTACAGCAACTCTGAAAACCTCTGTAGGAAAATGTAGACAGAAAAATGCAAGGAAAACCAAGCAGTTACTTTTTTTCCCCGTTCTGCTGTGGTTTGCTGGGGAACAAGAAAGGAGACACAGGCTTGCCAACTCTTCTGATTTTATGGGCCTCGTGGTATATATTTTTTTAATTGCCTGACTCTTGAGACTGTGGGATTGTGAGGATTTCAAGTGCAATTTAAAAGGGAGGCTGGCATGTCGCTGTTGTGGCTTCAAAGAAATGTTGGAGGTCAAGTCCCAGACCTCAAAAACTAGAGACAAATACAAAGATAAAATGAACCAACCTCCTGGGTTTGGAGGGCTAGGCCCACCGCTTTAAACCCTGGAGGGCTGGCAGCACTGGCGATAGTCAAAACACATTTCTAAGGAGGATATTTGACCGTGTCCCGCAGAGAACCTGCGACGATCTGATCAGATCCGCGACTTCATCCACCCCCGGCAGCACGCTCTTCACAGCCCACTGGGGACCCGACGAAACCACCGGCCACTGAAGTATCCGCAAGAATTTACTCCCGACCGGACCCCGGCAACGCCACTCAAGGCGAATGCCAGCCTGAAACCCTGGATCGCTCCGGCGCGATAAAACCAGGGCTGGAGGCGCCGCGCCTCCGACCGAGCGCGTCCCCGCGGCCCGGGCCCGGCGGCGGGAGGCGGCGGCGCCCCGGGGGCAGGGCCCGGGGGTGGCGGCGGCGCCGGGCGGTGCGCGGCGCAGGCTCCTCCCGCCGGCAGCCCGCCAGCCCCTCTCCTCCATCCCTCCCTCCCTCCCTCCCGCCCCGGCTCCATCCCTCCTTCCTGTCGGCGCTGCGCACTGCTGCCCGCCGGAGCTGGGCCGCCCGGGACCGCGCCGCGGGCAGCCCCGCGCATCCCCCCTCCCCGCCGCGGCATGAGGCAGCCGCCGGGCTCGGCGAGGCGGCGGCGGGTGAGTGCCGGGCTCGGCGGCCCCGCGGCGGGGGGGCTCCGCTCGCACCTGGGAGGGGGCGGCCCGAGGGACGCGACGATAGGTGCCCCCATCATCCATCCATCCATCATCCATCCATCCATCCATCCATCCATCCATCCTTCCCTCCCTCCATCCCTCCGCGGGGAGGTGCAGGCGAGGAGGGGCGAAGCGCGGGTTGCCAGCCCAGCCAGGACCCGGAGGGGCCGAGGGGAGTTTCCGAGCCCCCCCCGCCCTCCTCCCCGCTTTTCTCTGGCGCGGCGCTGCGGCTGGGGGCGGGGGACAGGTGGCGGGGGCGGCGGGGCCGGGGCCGGGGCCGGTGCGGGCGCAGACCGCGGCAGCCTCCCCCGGGGCTACGGGGGAGAGAGGGACCGGCGGCTCCTCTCTGCCGCTGCCCGGAGCCTGCGGCTTAAATAGAGGCTGTGTTTTGTCAACAGCTCATTCTGCTGGCCGGCAGGTTGGTTGGACTGAACAGCGGGTAAATAACATGCCTCTTTTTGCGCCTTTTTTTTTTTTTTTTTTTTTTTTTTTTAAATAACTAGCACCTTTCCAAAAAAAGGGGACCTTGAGAGGGGAATCCAGAGCCCCAGTCTACAGCTGGGGAGCATCCAGGCACGCTGTGTGCCTCGCCACACGCTGGCTGGCTGTACAGGGACACTAGCATGGTGGCAGCTTGCTGTGTCTATTTTGAGTGATTGAATTTCTAATGTGTTTAGAGAGTGTGTTTAAAAAAGATCTTTAAGCCTCTGAGGTAGTTCTGGAAAGAACGTCATTTCCTTGTTAAAATTCAACGTGTAAGTAAATCTGAACTGGGCATATTGTGCTGGCATGCTGTGTGTTGTTTCGGTAGGAATTGGTGATATATGTGGTTGATTTGGTTTTTAATTGTAACTGGTGGTGGTCGCCTGGGAGCTTTGCTATAAATGGGAGTAAAGGTCTGGATAGATAAAATAACCTAGTGCTGGGGACATTCTCACTGTGAGCTGTTGTGCAGGAATTGTCACTCTGATTCTTTTCCACCGACTTTCACACTTAAAAACTCCACTGCAAAAATAGTCAGGTATTCATATTCCATAATCAAGCTGGCCGTGTCCTGTCAAATTCCCTTTAGGGAAGCATGGACATTCAGTAGCTTTCTGTTGCCTTTGACATCTCACCTGGAAGTCCATTCTGCCTTTTTTTCCTTACTGTAAAATAATTCTTTAAATTCTTCTTAAACCTTTAGTTCAACTCCTCATCATGAATCCAGACTGTTAATCAGACTTAGCAGGTTTAGTAGCTGTGGAGAGGATTAAAGTCCATGTCATGCCATGTTCTCTCTCAAATCCGCATGTGGCAGTGGCAGCTGAGACAATACGTTGTTTAATGCAGATCCATCAGTGCACATGTACTTTATATATAAAGCTTCACATATTCTCTAGGGAAGAATGCATGATTTCCTTGATCTGCAAAAAGTCTGTGCTTGTCCTTCTCAACCATTGTATGCTGTATGGTTTTGGTGATAAAGATAAGCTTTGATTTCTGAATGTTTTTGATGATAAAGGTAAGCATGCGCATAGAAGTGTCCTGGATTTGGCCCCAGTGTGAATCAAGATAGAAAAAAAAAAAATGTTTGATGAGGTGAAGGATTAGGATGTGGAAGAGACAGAAGCAAATGCAGGGAGTGGATCCACAGAATGAGTAGTGCCTTATCTGCAGTTGGTATTGCTCAGCGTGGGCTGCCTGTCTTCAGCTGGATGGGGATCTGCAGGTTACTTCTGAGAGCTCTGCTGAGACTACTAAAAGACAGTCTGGTGTCAGTAGGCTGCAGGGCTATGTATCTACACTGGAAAATGTTGTAGAAGTCTACGAATGGAAAGCTTAAAAATCACTAACTTGGAACTAGTTTGGAGTATCACTTTTAGGCAGTCAATAGATCACCTGATTTTGTTTGATATTGCTCTGTGTTTACTTAGTCTTCGCATCCTTTCATCTTATCACTGTTTCACCTATTCAAACTTCTATCAGTGTTATTAAGTGATAACAGTTTCCATTGTGCACTCTCCAAACACATTGCTTTAGTCACTTAGAGCAGCCTGTAGCAAGTACTATCTGTGAGTCTGATTGTGCAAAATCCCTTTACAGGTGTGCTGAGGAAAAGGACTTAACCTTTAGGTGAGGGCATTCTCGAAGACTTGCCAAAGGCAAGTCAGGAATACATGGGAACAGTCATATAGGTGGAGATGCTCTCCAAGAAAGAGAGAGAAACATATTTTCACAGGTGTCAAAGCTGCTGCTGTTACCTTAGCAGGGAATTCATTGGGCTTTAGTTTTCAAGTGCTTGATGAATTTTATGATCTATGGCTGTAAGGTAACATCTCTTTCAATATCATTCAGCTCAGGGCTTTAGTAAGTTCAAAAAAAAAATCTGAATTTATTAATATCTGTAGGTAATGCTAGAACAGAGTCTGTAAATCCATTAGAAATATCTCTCTTAGAGAATGAATATTAGATTGTTTAATCCAGTGGGTGACTGACAGCAAGTTCTGTGCCTAATAAGATGTATTTAAACTCAGTATGTTAGTAAGAATTCCACCTGAAAGATTAAATGGTACCTCAAGAAGAAAGTGTCTGGCTGTCTTAAACAATCTAGATATTTATAAATACTGACTCTGTCTTGCGGAGTGCAGTGCATCACAGGGCTGATGCAGATGGATTACGTTTTTCTTCAAATAAATCAACAGATGATGTGACCAGGTAAATGAGGTTCTTTCCCAGTTATGCTGTGTGCTAGTGCTCAGAGGGACGCAGACTGGGCTAAATTAAGCAGTTCCTGTTGTGTTGATACATTTGTTGGATGAAAGCAAAAATAATCTGATACAGTTTAAAATGATAGTTTATATTAGCATGTAATTAAATTATTTGAGCTGCTGAAAGGCAGCTTTTGGATAATGGAAGGAAAAATAGAAAAAAGAACTCGGGGAAACTTACTGGAGTTACTTTTGTTCCATTTTCAATAATATGCACTGATCTAGGACACGGTTATAAAAGAAACACTGGGATCTTAGATTCAGACTGATGTTGAAATACAGAGATGATTCAAGTGAAATTATATTAATTAGCAGTAGAAGAAGAGGTCTGATGAGGGAATTTTAAGAATACTTGTATAAGTGGAAGGATTGAGAACTCAAAACGAGATACTGGTGGCTCTTTGAGAGGGGATGCTGTTGCTCTGAGTTAGACATTGATTCACATGCAGAGAGACACAGAGAACAGTCAACTTTATTCCTGTTACCATAACTAGTTAGAATTAGTTGAAATTATTCATATTTTGCTGCATCTTTTCCTCTGATTTATTTACGACTCCTTTTTGACTGTTAAGCAATAGATTTCTGTCTAAAAATAAGAAAAACAAATTAGTTCTAGATAAGGCTTGAGAAGTGATCGTGCGCTGTGCCCCACAGCTGGATGATGTATTTCATTCCATAAACACTTTAATGTAAAAGTTATAAATAATCCTTGGGAGCAGGACCTGGAGCCTGTGGTCCCTCACTTGAGAGGGTGAGTGCCCTCTCACAAGGACACAGAGTCCTACTCTGAGTCAGTGGTTACTTAAGCTGTGGAGAGAAATACCATCTACAGAAAGACTGGAGAAGTCTCCATCCTGATTTGTCTGTTACTTCGAGTAGTCTCTGGGGTGGTCAGAGGTGTTTCCCATACACCAGAGAGTGCTGCAGTGGCTGGGCTGCCTTAGAAAAGGGAGCACCACTGCTGTTTTCTTTTCCTGACTGTGTCTTAAAACAAAATCAAAGGCTTCTGCTTTTTCTGGGGAACCTGATTTTTTTGTGGTTCTGCACTCATTTTATCAGCAGACACAGGCAGGGAATAATTGCTTTGTGAATCTTGAGTGCCTAAACATCAGACAGGTGGTGTGGCCCTGCCAAAGATGAGACTCTGCATCTGTGAACGCTGATGCCTACAAAATTTATCATCACCTCTCTCTTTTTCTTTTTTTTTTTCTTTTTACTTCCCACTAATACTTAGCTGCAGCTAAATGAGATTTTTGAACCTGTTTCTTTTAGGTTTAAGCGTCAAAAGGTCAGGGTTTCTTATAGGTGCTTAAGTGTCCCCAGGGATCATCTTCCAGAATCATATGGATCTCTTCCAGAGTCATTAGCATGGCAGTGATGGGGGTCATATAAATTCCTAGATGGCCAGAGCTGTTTTCTTGCCTGCCTTTGTGGGGATGGAAGGGCAGGTAGGATACTGATCACCAGCAAACGCTGTTCTTTGTTCCTGTGTTCTTTGCTTGCCTTACTGACTTCCAAACTGTCAGACAGAAATTTGAATGATACCTGGAGATTCTGATCTGACACTAAGATCGAGGGACTGCCTTTCATATGCACCCTCAGTTTTTTGCTGATCATTGCTGTCCTCCCTCCCCTGGAAAATTTGCAATCTGTAAATCTGCAGACTGTGAGAGCCCTCCTGCTGTGTGTCTATAAGGTCCTTGCACTTCCTGCAAGAACCAGAAACTCTCCGCAGGGGCTTTTGCCCCTCTGCTCCTGTCTCCCTTTCCCGGCTGCCGTCTCGTGGAATCGCTCCTAGTAGCAAGTTTCACTGCAAGCAGAAAGTGCTTAGGCTAAAAATACCTCCTAACCCATCGGTATGAATGTTGGTCAGGGTGTAAGGTTTTGAAGGGCATATATCTCCCCTCCTTCCCATGCACGGTCTGCAGCTGGCACTGGGGTGAGGTCAAAGACTGTTGCTACAACAGAAGCAGCTTTCCCTTATCCCACAGGCAGAAAACTGCTGAGTTGTCAGCTGTTGAGTCCAAATTATGCCTTTTACCTCAGGGAGCACAAGTTATAAAAGCACGTGTCATGGAAACAAGGACAGCACTGTAGCAATTCCTTGCTCCTTCTGCCTCACTTCCTACCCTGCCAAAAACCACAGCAGAGGATGGGCAGCCTGTGTTGCCAGCTTGGTGTTAGGGGAGCACT